TATTTTCCAGTGTGTTCTCCACCCTTTTTATTGCAGTGTTAAAACGTGAGCTTACGATTTTCTCAATTTTCTGAATGGAATACCCTGTATTAATTAATTGGTGGTATAACATAGGGGGTATTTCATTTAAAAAAATTGAGAAAATCGTTACCCCGCATTTTGATACGCCCTACATACAACATAGCAAATAAATAAAGTTTATTAAAATTGTTTGACGATGTGAAAACAATCAAATATGTATAACTACCTGCAGGGTGTTTTGCTTTAAAAATGTTTGGTCAGCCCCTCGTTTATGCACTATCCTGTATATTTAAGAATATTTATTTAACCATGGTCATACAACTTTTATATTTTTTTTTGTATTTCCAATAATAAAACAGCTATGGATCAATTACGCACTGGTGGGACACCCTGTATATGTGTTATTGGCTAACATGTTGATATCGTTGAATAGGTGAATTTATAAGGAATTTTATCTTAAACTAATATACAATTTAATAAAGAGCCTTCCAAATAGCGTACGAGCATTAAGGAGGCCCAGGAGTGGACCGACGCAATATTAGTTTTTTTTATAAAGTTGTGAACTTAAAAAATAAATTGTATGGTGTAAATTTTCTGGCATTTTCCAAAATGTGTAACTTCTTTATTTTTTTCATGACAAATTTTAATTTTGTTGACATTGCAACAAAGTCCATTTAATAAACTATACATTTGTTTTTGTTAAAAGAGTAACATCATAAAAAATAACACATTCTATAATAGCAATATCCACTTCAATTGTTGAGCAGATATTAAGGTGTAAAAAGAAATCAGTCATCGTCCCTATATATGTGCCTCTGTCGTTAACTTGTCAAAATTAGCTGGAGTCTGTCACTCGTTTGTCAGGGATTTTATTGGCTGGCTGATTTTTGACACGATTCGAGTCTTTTCTTAAAGAAGGAATATTAAAAAAAAAATGTTGTTCATGAGAATCAACCTTTCTGAAAGTGGAAAATTGAGGAAGCTCATTAACAAGTCAGACATTAAACATTGTTTGCAGACCAGTATCAGAAAAGACGTTTTACAAACAGATGAAAATAAACTGTCCATTTACTAGATCCAAGAATCATGAAAACGGTTTTGGCTTACGTTTGTCGGTTATTTCAAAATTCACAACGAACTGATTTAGTATTTGATAGGTATAGCTCTGAATTATTGAATGCTGATACACGCCAATCAAGATGAGTATGAGTGCACATACGTATTACATCTTCCACAATAATTCCACAAAAATATAATGAATCATTACAAGTAGATGAAAACAAAAAACATTTGTTTACTTTTTTGGCAGAAAAGCTAATAAACAAATATTTTGAAGGAAAACCATTAGTCTGTACGCTTGAGAAAAGAGCAATATCATCTTCAGCAGAGTTACATCTATCAGCCATTTGACATAAAGAAGCGGACGGACGCCTTCTTCATGCTAAGCATGGAGCTGATAATGGCTATAAACGTGATATCTTTCGAACGATAAATTTAGATGTAGTGGTCATTGACGGATCTGTTTTTTCAAATTTTGAAAATATTCAAATACTTTGGATTGATTTTGGAACTGAGAATATTCTAAGGTTAGTAAGCATCCAAGACCTATGTTCTCATTTATTACAGGAGATCTGTAGCCTTTAGCCGATATTCTATCCTGCAACACGTTACGACACCGTGTCTTCATTTTGTAGGCATGAAGAAGCTTGCATGATGTTAAAGGCAGATCATAATATTAATTCCGTGTTTGAGCAGCTGCTAATGGGAAGACACCCGATGAAGACATTATGCGTACCGTGCAAAGGCAGTTAATGAGAGTAGACGATTCATTTTTATTAACAAAGTAGAGGAATTGAGAATATACCTTCAACACAATGGATTACTTCAGCATAAAAGCGAGCTTCAAGTCAATATATGGGAGCATTGTCTGAAGAAGACTATCAACCACCTTGTAGATAATTGGGGATGGAAAAAACTATTAACGGGTTTCAGCCATTGTGGTCTACTATTTTGGTTGTCGCAAAAAGTTGTGAATAATTAATTGCCTGTAGCTGTAAATGCGTCAGAAACGGTCTTCGTTGTACGCATGTGAAAGACATTCTTCTAAAAACAATTACTAATATTTTATATTTTAGATGTACAACAATTTTTTATTAAAATGGTTACACAAACTTTTTTTTTTAACTCAAATGATGGAATACTCAAAAGGGGGAACTGTTTCTTTGCATATATTCATCTTAACAAAATTTGACTACTTTCACTAAATTTATTGACTACAAAAACATTAAAATTGATAGCAAACACGAGTATGCAATTTAAATATCAAATTTTTGACATTTGGGTAACATATTGGCTACCAAAAAAATATATAGTGAGTTTTAAGTATGAAACGCCTCAATTATCTCGAAAACGCCTTGTACGATTTTTATATACTTTGGTATGTGAAGATGTATTACGGCCAATATTATGGATGTATTTACATTGTCAGATTTTTCGTCTTTCTGGAAATATAATAAAGTTTGTTATTTCAAATGGATCACACCGTATATTTTTTGGTATAGGGAACAATACATAAAAAATAATCAGTATTTCTTGAGAATTTCAAAAAAATAAAAATATACAGGGTGATCCATTGGACATAACAAACTTCATTATATTTTCAGAAAACCAAAAGATATGACATTAATGTAAATACAACCATAATATCGTATTACAAAACCTTTACATATCAAAGTATATAAAAATGGAGCAAGCCGTTTTCGAGATAATTGAAGCGTTCCGTACTTAAAACTCACTGTGTATATTACAGACATCGTGTTTAAGCTTATATAAAAGAAACAACAGATGATGCATTTCATTCATAAAGTATGTTTTGTTTGGTCCCAATCATCGGAAAAGAGAAAGAAGATATTTTATGCGGATCGAAAGAAGACAGACTGTAATCGAAAATCTCGTCTGGCAACGCTGCTGTTGTACGCAACTAAAAGTCTGTTGATACCAGTGGCGTATCTTATTAAAGGTAAAATCATAACTAATTATAAAAAAATAATGAAATACTACAGTTTTACAAATTGGTAAATGAGAGAAAATTTAGATTTTTAACACTACTAAATGTATAAAAGTTATTAAATTAATAAATTTACCATACTTATATACAAGGTGGGTATTTTAAATGGAACGCTTCTTATAGCGGATCTGGTAAAAAGAATTTTGTAAAATCCGAAAACACTTAGAACTGTACAACAATAAACCTATACATTGATAGTTTTTAACTTGTAAAACTAGGTAGTAAACTAACTTACTTATTATCATCCATAAATGTGTGCGGCGGCGTAGAAAAATTATCTTCTGGTTTCTTACTAGAGCTGATACAAGTATACATTTTGTTTAATAATAAGGTAGTTCATGAAAATAATCAAAGAAAGAGGCATGTAATATGAGCTTATAAAAAAAGTTTGTCCTTGTTAAGCACCTACAAAATTTAAAGAACTTACAACATAAAAATTTCTTTGTAAGATAAACTACCAACTTTCATCTTAAAGGATAAACACTTAAATGAACATTTTCGAAACATAATTAAGAAAGTTTTTAGTTACCTAAATGAGCTTTCTCGAAACAATGAACTTAGTTTTGGCAGTGCTCCACTCTTTTTTAGATACCTTCATTTTCTTCAAGTCCTACAAGTGATAGCCAAATATTTCTTAAATGCCTTTCAGTTAGGAATCTAAAAATCAAGCATAAGCATATTTATTTTACCACTATAGTCCAGACTAAAGTGTTTCTATTATTAACAATTTATTGCGAAATTAATAATGTTGAAAAATCAAAGAAAATAATAGTAATACAAAAGTAGATAATACATGTGACATTACGGCAAAAATCTTTAAATCTACACCACTGAAATATGCAATACATCATCACCTAACCTTACTTACTTATGAAAAGATACTTCAACACCCACATTTTCCAGTTTTTTGCTCAAAATGCACTCATGGACCATGTTGTTAGCTATACAAAGGCGAAATTTGTTTAAAAAAGTCTAAAGATTAACAAAAGCACCCAATATGCAACAGTTTACTGGATCGCAACGTCGCAAAATATCGATGGATAAAATACTCTACGTGACGTCCGTGACGTATAGTATGAATGAAACAAAGTTATTTTAAATTGCGGTGGTGTCACGTTTAACGCTTTTAAAATCCTTGCATTTATTTACAGGAATAATAATGGTGTTTGCCATAGTTTATCTTAGTATTTGCAAAGTTGTTATTTAGCAAGCGTATGTATGTAAAAACGATAGTTACAAAAATGCCCTGCCCTGCCCTGCTGAAAGCAGTTAAAATAGAATAATCTACTTTGTACACATTTTATACGTTTTTTGTTTCGTTACAAGTCATTTTATTTAGAGGTTTACTATTAGAAATGTTTCGGGAAATATTGCAACATCTCTGCCCACAATTCGTCGGAGTTGGAAACACTGCATTAGGTACGAAAATAAATTAGTGGGGACGCTTGATGTGTTGCAATATATCTCGAAACTATTCTAATTAATAAAACTTGTTGCTATTAGTGAGTTATAGGTAAAAACTATTTTTAAATATGAAAGGGATAAACTACACAGCCTGACAACAGCGCACCAGGAAACGCATGTCGGTTCATTTACGAAATAGCTACGCGCTACGTTTCTTTGCAATGTATGACCGGCTTTGTGTTTAAGTATACAACAATTACTTAAAATTATATTTTATTAAACAATATGGCATTCAAGTGTACCAGTCTATGCCTAAAACCAGTTTCTTGACCCTTTATTTGATGACGTCATTGCCGATAGTGGGGAGTCCAACATTTTTTGAGACTGACCCGTATTTTGATATTTGGTATATATAGTATAAAATAATAGAAACACATAACTCCCACTTTAGTATCTAATAGGAAGTAATTTAAGTCAAGCATACAAAGATCTTAACTTCTTCTTTCAGTGCATACCAGATGAATTGAAAGCTCATATAATGGAGCTTCAGAAAATTTGTTTCGCTGAAGTTGGATCTTCAGAAGAATTGGTAATGAAAGCTCTCAAAGGAGAATCGTTAGATGATCCAAAGCTGAAGGCACACGTATTATGTTTTAGCAAAAAAATTGGCTTTTTAGATGCAGAAGGAAACTTAAATATAAGCACAATTAAGGAGAAACTAAAAATGGTTTTCGAAGATGACAAAAAAGTGGATGAAGTAGTTGTTAGTTGCGCTAAAACAGAAGCCACGCCAGAGGATACGGCCCTGAGTACATTTAAATGTTTGTTGTCATTTATGTAAACATAACAATAATGGACGTGTTTAGTGAAATTCAGAGAATTAATTATTAAAATATTTTTTTTTTATTTTTTTCTTCGCAAATTTTTTCGTTTTTTTTACAAATTTTTTTTTTAATTTAAATTTAAAAACAGCTCTTCAATCAACTTAAAATTGCGTTAAAATGAAGTATAAAGTCTTAGTGGCTTATTTTTAGAATTTGAGATATTAATAAATGTGCTTTTACCTTGTTGCTCTAGTAGTTATTAAAATCTCAGATAAATCCCTTTTTAAATAAAATGACCTCAATTTATAATACCCATTTCAAGATTTACCTTAAAATTTGCTCATTTACTTCTAAAATTACCCCATTATACCAAAAGTTTCCCCAATTTCATGCCAGTTACAAGAAAAATTCTAGAGCTTCTTCTTTTAGTAGTTTCCGAACTTGGCGTTCAAATTTGTAGGGGTAGTAGTTCTCATAATTTGAGAGCAATTGGCAGATTTCTTTTATCTAAAAAAAATATAATAAACTAAATAGAGCCATTATAAAAAAAAACCAAAGAGCAGGTCCCACCCTGAGCGCGTAGCGCAATAGTCCTCAAAAACAGATGCAATTTGCAATTTTGTCGATTCTAAAAGCGTAGCGCGCGCGAGTCGAGGCGCTCCTATCGCTGGGCAGGACCGTACCTGTTTATAATTTTTAATTAATTTTTAATTATTTTTATTTTAAATATTTTGGAAAAATGAAATCTGCGGATAGGTCTCAAATTATGCGAACTACCAACCGTACAAATTTGGACGCTAAGTTCGGAAACAGTACTGAAAAGAACAAACCTTCGGTCCTGCTTTGCTTATGTTGAAGTATTCGAATAATAAATGGGTAACTGGCAATGTCGATATCAAATCCTTTTCTCGCCTGTAGATGCTAATGACATTTACTCTAACACAAGCCAAATGGGATCGAAGGATTGATCTAGCCACCACTTGAATCATCTTAGTACTCATATCTGTATTAAAATAATTGATTTGTGTTCTTACTTTAAAAACCTTACTATTGTATGATTCAAATAAATAATAGGCCAGTTATATAGAATAAAAATTTATTGAAAATTTGCACCTACTTCTCGTAAAAAGAAATAGCAAAACTCAATATGTTTGAGACATTAGCTTAATATTGAAAGATGTCTGTTTCTCTCATGCTTACATTATCTATACTAGCTCTGTGTAGGAAGAAAACTAGGTGATCCATTTTGATGCGCTAAAATGGCGCTAAAATTATTATGTTAGCGTTTTATGATTGATTTCTGTATCTGTAATGTGTGGAGGGTGGGTTGCCCCACGGCACTTAGGCCTCATTGTGTATCCTCCTGAGAAGATAGGCACCTCCTAGCTCGTGAGCCAGCCTACAGATTTAATGTAGTTGACAACGTCGCCAAGAGGTGCTTCTTTTATATCGGCCAGTGTTAGCCGAGACTCGCCGGACACAAATCTTCTAATAAATGAGAGCGTCGAGCAATCGTAAAGGATATGCTCGATGGTCTCATCTTCTTGTTCACACCCTCAGCAGAGTGCGGATTCTGACAGGCCCATGATATGAAGATGCTGTCGTACTTGGCAATGACCAGTCAGAATGCCTCTGACTAAACGCAGATTCTGTCTAGTCATAGTCAAGTATTTGTTAGCTGCAGTGTTGTCATGATAACTTAAGAGCTTTCTGGCAACTCTATAGTTTCTTGTTTCATCCCATCTTTCCTTGAATTTCACAAGGGAATGTTCGTTGATTAGTTCTGTGACTACCGATTTTGTCAGGCCAATAGAAGGGCCAGGTCCAAAAAGTATTTAGTTGGCTGCTTTCTTGGCTAGTGAATAAGCAAGACGGTTATCTTTCGATGTAGCGTAACCTTTAATCCATCTTAAGGTGACCACGTTGTTGATGGATACTTCGGCCCAAGCTTCGTGACATTCTAGTACTAACCTTGAATAAATTAGTGGTCTGTTCAGGGTGAGTAGTGCTTGTCTGCTATCTGTATAGATGAGCATGTTCCTTCCAGTGATATTGTTTCTGGTTATTTCTTTTTCAGAATCCCCGTTAGCTCTGTTTGAACTACACTGGCACTATTGCTCACAGCTTATTTTATGTTTAGGTTTAAGAATCTGGAGTATATTCCACATCTTGAGCCTTGTTTTGTTTTAGAACCGTCGGTGTAGATATGAATCGTACCTGCTACTTCTGGCTCTTCTATTTGTTCTATTATAACTTTATATGGCTTATGAAAGATATATTTTGGTGAGATGGAATCCATGTTCGCTTAAAGCGGTGGGAGCGTATCCAGCGCCTCCTGCCAAAGGTGACATCTTGCCTCACCAGATCCTACATTAGATTCTATTCCAACCGTGCGGAGACGTGTCATTGTCGTCAGAGCAACCTGCTTGATGTAAATAAGAAGGAGAATGAGACTAAGAATGACTTCCATGGCTCTAGTCGGTGTTGTTTTCATGGCTCTTGTTATGTTGAGACATGCTGTTCTTTGAATTTGTTCTAGTTTACGGATAGCTGTTAATTTTTGGATTTTCGGTACCCAGACAACTGCGCCGTATGTTAGCATAGGTCTTATGATAGTCGTGTAAGTCCATGCGACTACTCTGGGGGAGAAACCCTAGGTGAGCCCCACAGTTCGGCGGCATTGTTCATAAGCAATGTATGCTCTTTTAACTCTGTTTTCTAAATGCGAGTTCCATGTTAACTTGCTCTTAAAGGTGAGACCTAGGTACTTCACCTCTGTTGCAAAGTTTGGTTTTGTGTTTAGGAGTTCTAGAGGTTTTAATTCCATTTTCAACCTTTTCCTTCTTAGGATTGATAGACAAAGAATGGTCCTTGCACCACTGTTCTATAATTTTTAGAGCTACTTGCATTCTTTTGCAGAGTATGTTCTCAAAATTCCCTGTTTGCATAATGACCAGGTCATCTGCATATGCTATTGTGTAGTGACTGTCATTATTGAGGCGGCTGATGAGGGTGTCGAGGACCATATTCCTCAGTAAAGGTGATAGCACCCCTCTCTGTGGACATTCCCTCGCAACCAAGCCTCTTATATTCACATCTTCTACACTTATGTTTACTGCTCGCTTTGAGAGCATGTTATGTATCCACCCACTAACTATTTGTAAAACATTACTATTGGTTAGTGAGTGTATTATCTTTGGGAAGGTGGTTTTATCAAAAGCAACTTCTATTTCTATGAAAACACCCAAGGTGAACTCCTTATTGTCCAGGGATCTTCCTATCCGGCCAGCAACTAGATGAAGGGCTGAATCAGTAGATCTGCCTGGGGTGTATGCGTGTTGGTTTGGGTGTAGTGGTGTTGTTGTAATCACCGCATCCCTTATGTACCTTTCGCATAGCCTTTCCAATATCTTCATGGAAAACGAAGTCAGACTAATTAGTCGGTATGATTTTGGGACAGTAATTCATCCTTCCAGGTTTGGGTATAAATATGATTGATTTAAAAGTGAACGTTTTAAAATACTTTTTTTTATTTATTATCCTTTTTAAGTATTAGTGTTAAAAAAATATATTTTAATAAATTCTTGATTTTTTTTACAGTAAACACGCCCATTATAATGATCCTTTTTATTATTATGTTAGTGAAAGTATAGGAAATAAATTAATCTGTTTATAATAGATTTGTTTGTTTATTATTCTAAACTATCCAGCCAGCCAATGTTGGCATCAGTATGACTAAGTTTGCGTTTACTTCCTATATTTAACTCTAATACCTAGTTTTTAATATATATTTTTTTTAATATACAGTGTGATTAATTAGTGCTGGTATATCTAAGGAGTATAAACCCAACAAATTGATAAAGGGGTCACTGAGGCAAGAGGGAAATAGTAGTCAGCTTAGGTTAGCAATAATGAAAATGTAATTTAAAAAAAGCTTACACAGTTTGGCGACTGCTATTTCGTATAAAAATTTCAAGCAAGTTGGAAGGCTATATCGCTAAAAACGATTTCCGAATTTAGTCAAATTATACCGAGTTCTAAAAAAATTATAGACATTAATAATTTTTGAATTTTCAATTTTAACAGATTATATTTCGGAAACGAATAATATTTTACCGTTCAATCGTCTTATTTTTAATCAGATAATCTTCAGTTGGTTGTTCTGTCCTATTCTTAATTGAACACCCTGTATATGGATACAGAAATATAATTTTTTTCGATGTTTAGTAAAAGTTTTTGTAAAACGCCATCTCTCATCCTAAAATGGGAATATCATAAAAAAACAGCGAAAAAGTAAATATATTTTTTAATGCTTCGTATAAAAAAGTTTTGTTCGACTGTTTTCATTTTTTCTTTTTCATATTTTCGTGACAATTGCGTTTTGTTGTGTAACTGAATGGGTCAAAAATGTTCGCTTTGGATAGTAGGTATCCACTTAATTTTTACATAAACCTCTAGTGTACAAATAATTTTTTTTTATTGGTATTTTACTTATTTAAAGTACGCCTTTGCGTGTTTAAAACGAACTTTAAAAGACGCGCGTTTTAAAGTTACCATGGCAACATTAACAACCCGAAAAACGTGATGTCTAAATGCCAACTTTTTAAATATTGATCTGACAGGAGTGCCTTGTAATGTCAAATAAAATATTTCTGAAAAATTTTTCAACAAATTTATTCAAATATTTTTTCACATTCTTAATTGTTTAAATGAATGTGGAATAGGGTGATTCGTTTCCGCAAAGTTTTTTTTTTCTCGGCGCTCAAGCAAAATATTAATCAACCTATAGAAAAAAAAAAATTTCACCAAGGTAGAGCTCTTAATATCAATTTTAAGTACTTGCAATTTAAATTTAAAGTTTTCCCATTTAAAATGCATGTAAAAAAAATGTTTTTTTTTTAAATTTCTAATGCTCACCCGCTTTTTACAATATTGTGAATCGGTTTTATGGACCTTGCAGGGAATTTCACGCTCTACAAAATTGTCTTAGTGTTTTT